GAGAAACTATGCGGAATCTACGAATCATCTCCTCTCATTTCTCACGAAGTTTCAGATCAATCGAGAGAAACCCAGTTTCCGCAAGATTGATCTCGTTCCAATCCCGGCGATACTCGTCGGTATCCGCTAAATCCGATGCCGGAGTAGAGACAGAGAAGAAGGAGGTGACGAAGACGGCGTTTGATGTGATGCTCCAATCGTTCGAAGCTGCTTCGAAGATAAAAGTGATTAAAGAAGTGTTATAGGTTACGGATTTGGAGTTGGAGGAAGTAAGGGATTTGGTTGAGAAAGCTCCTATAATGGTGAAGAAAAGAGTTAGTAAAGAAGAAGCAGAGAAGATCATAGAGAAATTGAAGGCTGTTGGAGCTAAAGTTTCTATGTGGAGCTAAAGTTTCTATGAAAGCAGATGGATTATGGTTAGTGAAGAAGAATCTTTCAGATTGTGAGGAATGATATGTATGGATGGTGTTGAATTGTAGTTGCTATTATAAGGTTTTAGAATTGGTAAAGAACAGTGTTTTTCTACTCTGGTTTTGCATAAAGTTGCTTGCTTTTTGTTCAATGCCTTTATATTGAGTTTCATGAGGATTCTTTTTGAAGTTTCTTCGGCTCGCTCTCTTGAATTCTTTACGTTCCTCTTTGTTTGCACGATGTTCAATTGAAGTAGTCTTAAGGAACATCTATTAGAATAGCCTTTTGAAGTTTCTTCTGCTCGCTTTTGAATTTGTTTAAGGTCCTCTCTGTGTTCGCGTTGTTTGATTGAAGGGAATCTTTAAGGAAGAGAGATTATAATTGCGCTTTTGTAGACTATTGGAACTAAACATCTGAGTAGAGTTGCTTAGAAACAACAACTGGTGTTAGATATTTTAGAATCTGTATGATTCCGTCGAATCATTTCATGCTTAAGCTTCAACCTTTCCAATTGTAGGTGTTATGAAATTGGAGCATGACAAGGATCAACAAATGAATCTTCTGCTGAGTAGTTTTCTTCAAGTGTGTTTGTTACAAATGTAAGATGTCATGGAAAGTCGCTCGTCGACTCTTAGAAACAGACTTTTGTCTTCAATTGAATATACACGAAGGCTTGTTAGAAGCAAAGTTGTCTTCTTTGGAATCGATCATTCTCAATCATTCACACAGTTGTTGATGATCTCTTCTCAATAGAAGATTCAGGCAATTTCTTTCACTAAATAATAAATCATGTTATTTCTCAACTTTCAAGCTTTGTACTCTAGCTTCTCGTATGGTTAATTAATTGTAGAAAGAAGCTTTTCTTGTTTTGAAGATAGAAACATGTCAAGAGCTCGACCTGAGATCATACATTTGGTTTCTAATTACAATAGTAAAAGACACAGAGATGTTATACTTTATCGTCGTGGAACCGCCACCTAGTTTCTTTGGGAGATCTTCCATTTTTGCAGTTTTTCAAGTAATGGTCATTGTCTTTCGGCTTTTGCTGCAAGGTCGACATAAGAGAGCAAGAAACATCATAAGAAGACTATACTATGAAAGCCTTTAAAAGAAGAGGATACAGAAAATCGCAAAAACCTTCACGGATGAGCTTGAGAGCATTGAGAGAATGCTGAGACAGATTGAACTTAGTCTCATCGCGGGAGACCACGAATCATACAAAACATCTGCATCAAGCGAAACAAACAAACAGAAGGTCTTGTCACTGGACTTACTTGAAAAGAGAGCAAAAGCAAAAGTGAGTCATTGTGTTTGTCTGTTTGAGTATATTCTTACCCAAACAAATGTGACCGTTGCTGTAAATATGAGGATGAAGTGGAGCTGGATGCTGAAAGATAACCTGTTAACAGGTGAAATCATCATGTTTTTTAAGAGATTGACGCGATGATTAGATACCGATGAGTACTATTAGCGAAAGGAGTTTGAAGAGAAACCTGTGGAGCCTCCATAGGATAATGCTCAGGAAATTCTACTTGAAGTTGGTAAGTTTCATTGGCATAAAGAGTTCCTGGAACTCCATTCACTTCAATGATCCATCTTTGGAGATTATCAGAGACTCTATGCTTGAAACCAGAAGGAGGACTAGTCTGCCACTCCATGAACTCTTTCTGCAACCGATTCGTGGCGATTTTGGTCAGACCCTTAACAACAAACAACAACAAAAAGAGTTGATCAATCCAAAGTAGTAACAAAACAAAATCTTGTTATTATAAAGTTTAGAAGCAAATTAACCAACCTTGCGAGTTGATGTAGAAGAACTTGTCATTCTTTTTATTGAGTTATAAT